AAAAAAAACTAATAGGTAGGTTTAAAATTAATAAATACAAATGTATTCTGACAGTGAATGAGTTAATTATGCTTTATATTTGCAAAATTCCTCAACATTAACACAAAATAAGAAAAAAAGTGAATTTATAAGAAATTTGCGGGATTTCCCGGGATAAGAAAAATTTCCCGGGATATTTCCCGGGTTAAAAAAACAACCGGGATCCCGGGATCCCGGAATCCCGTTTGAGAAACCCTACTTCCGAACAATTTTTATCAATATAATTATCAACATAATTATGTTTAATAATAGTAATAACTATAGATATATTTACCTTCGAAGATTATGAGTCTAAAAACGCTCAACAAAGTAAAAAAAATAGTTAATTTCCAAAATTTCCTTCCCTCGCTTACAGTAGTGAAGCAGTCGCTAGACCACGGCTCGACCACGGATGACGTATATCCGGAATCTGGCAGGAAGTGGCTAAATTGGCTGTATGAGGCAACCTTATATTCTAAGACCTTGGTTCGAACTAAGGTGCTAGATTACCCAGGTATGCTCATACACTTCCGCCATGTGTATAGCCATATTGGTCCTTTTGACGTCATAATCCAAGATGACAGCTTGCTATGTAGCATCGCATAGCATAGAAAATCAACAAAATGCCCTGTTTTTCGGCTCAGAATTGTGCAAACAGTGATGGAAAAGGTTACCAAATGTTTCAATTCTCTGCCGATCAAAACAGAAGAAAGGTTTAGGTCGTTAAAACAAGACGGGATAAGTGGCAACCAACATCGTCTTCATCGTCTTCTGTGATGTAAGCACTTAAATTTAACTTTTTAACAGATTTGGTTTTTCCAATTGAACCCCAGTTTTGCAGATGATATTAAAATGGATATAGATGAAATTCAGAAGATAAGAATATATTTTTTTCACTTTTGAAAATAAACTGTTTATTTGTTAATACACACTAGTATCTGCAAGTATTAATTTGTAATCAAAGATTTGTCAGCCCATGTTAACTCTAAACAGGGCCGGATGCAATAGGTGCGAGGTCCGATTGAATTTTTTTTCGGGGCCCCTCAAACTTTAAATAACAAAATTAATTAATAGTTAATTTACATATTGAAGTATAGATTTTAAATATTTATTTAAAACAAAATCCAAAATCTAATTATAAAAATCAAAAGTCATGAACTATAAGGTAGACAAATTTTTACATTAAAAAAGCTGTACCAAATATAAATACAACTACATTTTATTAAATACTAGCTTACCCGTCGCGCATTGCTGCGATCTCAGAAGAAAGGAAATTCAAGCAAACTCGTTATGATAAAATTCAATTTACATTTTATTATTTTTATTGAAACTTATTATTATTATTCATTTTCATCGGGAAAACATTTCAAAGTGTCGTTTCAATTCTATTTATTTATTGGAGTGTTTGTGGATACACGATATTTTTTGTTTTTCCGTCTGGTGCGTACACGAATAAATCGGAAGGTTTTTCGACGCGTGAGCCGGCCACATACAGTTGTCCATGCGAGAAGCACGGATTCTCCAAATTTAGCCCACACACTCGCTGCGATTGTCAGAAGTGCGATATTCCCCATTTTTATATATATTTTTAAATCCTTTATAATTTTAATTATTTAATTGCTCCTTCCTCTCTTCCTTGGCATGTTGTGAAATTTCTGATAGTTGGATAATAAACCGTTTTATTGTAATTTGTCTTTTTAAATTATTTTGAGTCGATATTAAAATTTGGAAAAGGGGGATCCCTAGATCGGTAAAATAGGCGAATTTCCTTCTACAACTTCGGTTGTTGTTCATGATACAGTTAAGGCTTTAACAAAGTTCGAGCGATTACGTAATTAGCAAAAAAAAGTTGAAATAAAGTGATTAAACAAAAATTATTACAAATATCGTAAATAACAGTTCACAAATGCATATATAGAGATATTTTTTGAAGGGGGAAAAATGGTCATCACAATTTGAAATCGATCTAACACACTGTCCGCGAATGCTCGTGTAAACGCGCGCCATCTATCGTAGGGTAAATGCCAGAAACCTTCGTGGGAGTGTATTAAAAAAATCTTCCCAAAGCTTCATTGCAATCGTACTACGCCACAAACCTTCGCTGGAGTATATTAAACAACTTCCCAAAGTTTCACGGCAATCGGATAAACGGTGTGGTAATGCATGAAGGACACACAGACGCACATACATTCATTTTTATATATGTAGATAAACATACATAGATATGTTTTAGTATTTCTATATTTTTAAATGAATATAACTATAGAAGATTTTTCATTAAAAAAATTTATGACGTG